AAATACAAGAAGCCCGGTATACCAACTTTTTGCTGTATATCTAATGTAATCGAAAAGACATGAAAAAACAATGAGATTGACAAAACAAAACAAAGAAAAAACGGCCAAGTTTTCGCAAAGCATCTTAAACCTTTTCAACTGGAAAACTTTCGGTGAATAGGACACGAAGAAGTCTACAAAGCGCTGTATGAAGTAGATTTTGATGACCTGATTGCCCGATTATTAAACATTTTGTAAATATCACAATTTCGTTGTCGACTATTGTAGACCAAAAAAAAGTCCCTACTAACTTTTTTGTCTCAGCAGAATCAGTTTGTTTTGTAAATTACAAGGCCAATATACACATAACTTTTAAATAACTTGAAAAAAAAAGAAATATAGGAAAATAACAAGAAAAACGTAACAATTAAGCAGAGGGCTGTAAAATGTCAGTTTTAATCCATCTTTGCCTTACAGTTTTATTACAACCCTCAGCACTTTCCCTTTTTCTTGGCAGTAAAAGCCTCACGTGCCTCACCAATTGAAGCTGTGTATGAAAATGAAAATATAAAGCTTACAAGAATTCCTTAAAATAATTGTTCTACTGATAAAGAAAAAAGCTAAAAACACAGGGGATTAAGACAGTTTCTTTGCCTAAATCTTCAAAAATCGTAAATGGCATGCTTATTTTGCTGTTCCAATCTCAAAACAAACATTTGTAACACCAGCAATAAAATAGTACTTTTTTGAGGTACCAAAAGGTGAAATGGATATTTACGATTAGTCACAAAATGCTTCATTTTAAGATTACAGTAATCCTCAAAATTTGAAAAAAAAAAAAAGAAGTGTTTACTTTTTGCCCCTCTAAAGCGACATCCAAAAATCTTTCATTATTTCTTTAGTACTGTACTTTGGCTAAAACAGCGATAAAGTTTTAACACTAAATAAATGTGATAAAATTTGACAAGAAATATGAGGCTGGAGGAAAAGTGTAGTTGTAACAGCAAATCTAATCACAGACTATTTTATTCAAATTAATCAAGAGATTTATTATTATGCTAAACAGTTTTGAAGCTGACCAGGAGAATATTAATATGTAGACATTTCTGTTATGTAATGCAGTAACTCTACCGAAAATTCTCATTTAATAAAAGCAAAAAAAAAAAAAACGTTATTGTGATTATTGTCCTATCTTTCTAACAGACACCAATGCCGAAGAAATACGATAAAAGGAATCACGCATGATAACAACAGCTACTGAAATCGTTATTGAATCAAACCTTATCACGTATGGCTCCAGCCATACCGGCAGGACGTGGACGGCTGCTCATTGTTCAGTTAATATCTTTCTGATGGATACTAAATATGCAGTGGCAAGTTTAGGATTAGGCGGCGAAGGCAACCGACTCAGAACGAGTTACAGTCACTGTGGAAGACCGCGGTAGCAGTGCCTCTTTAATATAGCCTCTGCTGTTGTTGAAGTGTTCAGCAGACTGATGATGAATTGAGGAGAGTGGTGGGGAGGGGATGTAAGCTCCTGCAGAATTAGACTTAACCTTAGCTCACCATCATTGCTGAAATATATCTTCTTCTGTCCGCTCGCATGACTCCAGCAGATTGTCGCCAGCGCAAAAGTTGTTTGTTTGTTTATCAAACTTTTCATTTTCTCTCAAAAAAAAATTTTTTTGTTAGTATCACTTTTTTCTTTCATTTTTTCCTGCCTTCTCATTTTTTTTTTCGACTCAACTGGAGAAATCTTACGAAATTTTTACGCACAGACACAGACAGATATATAACAAACCTAAACTGAAACATATACTTATAAACAAGCACTCCCATAGTTATACACGTAAACAGACCAACAGACACAAGCACGCACAAAATTGTCATCATATTCGTGGGCGAACATAGTCGATATTTTTTGTAATTTGGATAATTCTCCAAATTACTAATAAATTATAATTTGCCTTCTGTGGCTGCTTCCTGGTTACCACATTATTCCGTTGCATCACTAATCTATTAATATTTGAAAATCGACCTGAGCGAAATTGATCAATGAAAAAGAATAGCTGTACTTTCAGTTAACTTATACCTTCCTGGCACTTTTAAAAGCCGCCCCTTAAACTCGCTTCAAAAATTCCTGACATCAAATGTAAGCTTCATTTGTCAAAAATTTCAAAAGAATTTCTTGATCAAAATATTTCGTCCGTTTTCTTAATTCCTGTAAAAATTTTTAAGTAACAAAATCATGTTTAAACTAAGTAGGTCGGTCGAAACTTACAAGTAAATAGGAAATGTAAAGGACTACGTACATTTAAAGAATTTACCACTTAAAAAAACTGAAAAAGTGCCGCTGTTGTTATGATTATACGACATTCTTGAAACTACAACTTTCATATTCAAAAGACCGAAATATGCTGATGTTTCTTATGAGGAATTAATGTTTATTTAAAAAAGATTGTTTTTTTTTCATTATGTTTCTCTCTTTCAACTTCAGTTCTATAAAACTTCCCGGAATAAAAATATTTTTATTTTAACAATAATATTTTGCACAATAATATTTTTCATGCTCATCGATTTTATTCATTAATCTAAATTAACATACAGAACTCGTAACAAGATTTCAACTACTCTACAAGCACCTGAAATTTTAATGGTTCTCTCTGTATTTCGTCCCAACATTAATCGGTTCAATATGCTAAACGATTGTCTGCCTCGGATACGTTTCAATATCTGCCGTCCAATATAATACAGGTAAAACAGAACCTTCTGGATGTCCAAACAGACACCCACTGGTATGGCCACCAACAGTAAACATGACTAAGTTTACCTCTAC